AAAAACTGGGATCGTATCAGTGATTTTTGTAATCTGAACTTGGAAAGTTGTCTAACAATTTTAAAATTCCTTTTTGATAACACATTTTTTTCATTTGATAAAAAATTTTTCGAACAAGTTTTTGGCACTCCCATTGGTGCATCAATTTCTCCAATTTTAGCAGCCTATGTCATGGATGATCTGTTAGATACTGTGATTCCTGTTTTATCAGTTAAACCCTTATTTTTAAAAAAATATGTGGATGACATCATCTTAGCAATCCCAGAAAAAAGTATTGATGAGGTTCTTTTTACATTCAATAGCTATGACCCACACATTCAATTTACAATTGGAAAGGAAGATGCGAACTGTTCTGTACCTTTTGTCGACACAAAATCCATTCGCACTAACGAGAACAAGATCCTGATTGACTGGTACAGGAAACCTTGCAGCTCTGGCAGGTACATGAACTTCGAATCGTACCACAAAAGATCTATGAGAGTAAACTTGGTCGAGCAAATGAAAAACAGAGTGATGAGAATCTCAGACAATACTTTCCATAATAAAAATTTGAAAATTCTTTTACAACTTTTCGTTGACAACTCATATCCGGTCAAATTAGTAGAATCAATATTATTTAATGCACCATCCATTGATCAACCTGACAATTCAATTAACAACCCAGATCCACAACAAAATGCAACAATCCCTGAGACAATTCCAGCGCCAATCATTTTCACTTCACTACCCTATATAAGAGAGATAACACCACAACTGACCAGACTATTTCCATCAACAGGTAACTTAAAAATAGCATACAGAACAGTAGTAACTATCAAATCCTTGCACACTAAAATCAAAGATAAAGTGCCCTTGTTATCTAACACAAATGTAATTTATAGTATTCCTTGCCATGATTGTAATAACCAATATATAGGCCAAACATCGAGGTCACTATCCAACAGAATAATCTCACATAGAAGTGATTGCAGACTGCACCCAGAAAGATGTGCACTTGCAGAACATGTGAATAAATATGATCACCATATGAATTTCGATGCTGTTAAAATCCTATCACGAGAGAAACATCTGATGAAAAGAACCTTCTTAGAGATGTCTTTTATATCACAATGCAATAATTGCATAAATAAAAAAAACAGATATTAATCATTTGAGTGAGATTTATTCCTTTTTACTGTCTTTAGATAACTCATAATCATTTCAAATACCAGTTTTCAACGTTGGTACGCATTGTCTGTTGGTACCTCTGTTGTGCATTTTTGACATGACAATTGTCTTCACACACACTGTCATATGTCAGTCATATTCATTTTTCGAAAAAAAACTCATTTCCCGGCACCATTTGCAATAACCTTATCTGCTCAAATCATAGAAATCATCCATTTTTCTCAAAGTGGATCCAATTGATTTTAAAGAAAAAGCAATGAAAATCCGGTCGACAGACTTTGGGATTTTCATTGCTTTTTCTTTATAACCTTATCTGCCAACAATTCCAACCATGTGGTGGAAGATGTGACTTTTAACTTAGTTTTATAATGTTTTAACGTGTGTTGTTCAATGTAATGTACTATGAAATCAAGGAAATCAATGAGCCCTTCAAAAAAAACTAGTGAAAAATTTGGACGCAGCATCATTTCCTCCGTGTAAGGCTGAACTGAAACAACAGATATTGAGAACGATGTACATCGCTATAAATTGGAGGAATGCACATAAGAAAATCTCTACATGTTTAACTCCCATCGATTTTGGATGGATGCGAGTCATTGATGATGAATATGATTTCAAATGATTCGAAGGATCCCAGGCTGAAGAAGATTGAAAAATGATGCTTAATTCATTCCCAATAATTTCACATTGTAGCTCAAGTGTTCTCTCATCATATGTGTAAACGACAATTATCATATGTATAGTAAGGTTTGAAAACTTTGCACCATATGGAAATCATTTTACGCTCACTTTTCAGAGAATTCTATCCTGATGGAAGTTGATGGTGAAGCACAATCTGTAATCTGGAATGTACGTAAAACTATTGCAGATTCACTAAGGTATATTTGTTAGTTATTTTATCATATGTTCCACGCTGTATGTCTATCGATGTTCAAAAACAATCTATTCATACATACCGATGTTCTTAGTGTATCTACACAATATCAGTGATATATAAAAACAAAATCGAAGTATTGAGAATCAAATATATATATATATATAAAAAGAAGAAAGATATTGTGTATGAACACAGAGCCAGAGTATGAAGTAAAAGATTGTAGGTTTAATCCGTTCCGTGAGTGGAATGTCAATTTTTCTTTATCACAGGAAGGAAGGAATGCTCGAAGTCATCTCCACAAATTTTAATGATATTTTTAACTAAATCATGAGGGACATGTTTCGGTCTTATAAAAGACCATCTTCAGCCTAATTGAGAAGTCTACAATACAAAAACAAATGATATTGAAATGAAAGGATTACCTATTTTATGCTAGACTTACTTGGAGTAAGTAAACCACACTTTACGCCTCGAAAAGAAGTGAATAATGTTATGTTTTATAGCTAGTGACAGAAAAAGGCGTGTTTTCATAATAGTTTTTCAAACTACTAATTAGTACAAAGCTCATTATCCATATTGGATCTGCGATCTTGAATTCCCCAATTTTGAAGAACAAATTATAATCTCTGACCACGAAACCCCTCAGATAACAATTTCCATAATGACGTAACCCGTTCGCCATATTGGATCCGACATCTTGAATTCGCATTTGAAAAATAGTTTACGACCGATTCTCAGACCAACCGAATATGCACGAACATTTTTATAAGGAGGAGGAGTTGGGCAACAAATACCGTGACAGGGACTGGAGAATTTTATATATTATATTATTTTTTCAGATGAATCCTCAGCATACAATCCCAGTTCTTGATGATGACGGTTTTATTTTGCCAGATAGTCACGCCATCATGCCATATCTGGTGTCGAAATATGGCAAGGATAAGACTCTTTACCCTACTGATTTACAAGAAAGGGCCATAGTAGATCATCGTTTGCACTTTGATAGCAGCATTCTTTTCAACAGGGGACTCATAATTTCAGTGAGTGTTACTTATTTTTTGATACTGATAAACTACATTTTTTCAAATTTTATTTCAAAAATGGTTAATTATATTTGCAAATAATGCCCCAATTGAATTTCTAATGAGTCATTTCGTTCAAAAACCAACACTTCAAATTACTTCATGTGTGTTCAATGCCCTTCGCTACGCGTCTGGCATCGAACTTCACACTCGGGAGGAACTGGATACCTTTGCTCCCTTGATATATAAATAGCTATTTTTCGTGTGGCGATGAAGTATTTCGCGAGCGCTAAAGTGCCAGTTTACGCACCAAAAACAAGGCGGTAAAGTGTTACTTTATGTCCAATCGTGCATCGAAGTTATATATATTCAGGATCCAATACAGAATTGAATAGCACTCAGCAGGGGAAGAGGAGGAGAAGCTGAAATGATGGCCTCAATCCGACTCAGAGTTGTTAAAAATCCGTGTATGTTGAAACTGTTTTCTAGAATGAAATTATTGGTTCCGGAATAGTGAATTAACTGAAAAATGATCCCACCTAGAAAATTTGGAAGCTTTGTTGATGCAATGTTGAAGCAATAATTATACTGTAACGGACGTTCAGCAATATTGCTAAGGTGAAGTTTGATAATGTAGAGTTGCAGTGATATTACACAAATTCATATTTGCATTATTGCTGAACGTCCGTTTCAGGAATTGCTGCAACCTTGAATCAACATAGCTTCCAAATTTGCTCAGTGGGATGTGGATCAGTCTTCAAAATATGGTAACGAAACGTGTCAGCAGCGTGTCAAAATCATGAACAAATTATGGTTGATCAACCAACTGTTTCCTGAATTATTGAATCAGGTATGCAAGTTGTTATCAGAAATACATAGTCAGCTCAAATTTCCATTTAATATACGTCGTCAGCAGTCGATAGAAGAGCGCGACGCGCACATCATTCAGGTACATAGCAAGTGTTTAAATAATAAAATTCACTAATTTTTCAATATTTAATAGAAAGAATATTCATTTGAATATATTTCCAATATATTCTTCACAGAAACATTCATTTCATCATTGAATGAAGGCCCGTACCGATGAGAATGCTTTGTAATTATTGATACGGCGGCTTTTTTAAATATTTTGACGGCTGACAGCGTATGTTGACTAAAAATTCGGACTGACTATGTTTTTTCGATGTTTCCTATTATCAGCCATTTGTACCTATACCTAATCCAACATTTGAGGAAACAGTTTCACCATCAACCATACTGCTGACGTGTCTCATCATGATATTTTGAAAAGACTGACGGTATCCACATCAGTTTTTAGTTGATTCACTCTTTGGACATCAATTTTCAGATTATAGAAAATTTTTGCGACATGAACGGTCTTCAAAAACTTATTGCTAACGGAACTGGCTGACTGACGGCAGCTGTCTACGCTATTGGTATACACTCACTGAATACGTACTACATAATATCGAAATTACAGCCTTTAAAAAACAGTTGGTTTTGGTCTAAGCAGTTCTTTTTCTTCTTGGACCCTCCCCCGGAAAAATATCCTGGGGACGGCCTTGAAATTCCCGGAGAATGAGGAACAAAAAATTAATCAATTTCAACCTGTCTGAGAGTTCATTAGCCTTATCATCCATTTCTCATTTCAGAATAGCCTGATTTTTGAAGGAGCCAAAGAAATTCCTCAGAAGCTTCTGGACCAGTTGTCTGAAGCTGTTCATATGGTGGAGAAATTCCTTGAGAAGACCGAGTTTGTAGCTGGAAATCAGATGACCATTGCAGACTTCAGCTTTGTGACCAGCATCACCTCTTGGACACCATTTGTGCCTCTCACAGAAGCTCAATTTCCCAAGATCATGGCTTGGTTGAAGAAAATGGAGCAGTTGCCATACTACAGTGGGAATCAAATTGGGTTGGATCAATTACTGCAGGTTTTGAAAACAAAGATGCCCAAATGAACATGTACTCTATAATCTGCATCAATGGAAACAACTAAAATCCCTCGATATGTTATTATAACTTTATACCTCTAAGTACAAACAATATAAGTGCTTGATTTCTCCATCAACATGTTTTTTTTTGTATTTCGAGGCCAAATGAAATGTTTGGCTGCGTACCTTTGCCAGGAAATGTACTTGAGAGACCGTTGGCGACATGTCATCAATGAAGACTATTTGCATGCTTTTTATTTTTATCAATTCATTTTTAAAAGCTTCCATTCAACTTGCATTGTATGTTTGTATGGATGTATGTATGTTCGGGTGGAATTTTCAAACTCAATTTTGAAGTAGAAATCTTCAACCGATTGAGCTGAAATTTTGTATACACGTTCAGTATGAATGACGATGCACGATAAGGTGTGTCACGTTATTTTAAATCCAATATGGTGGACTATTCAAGATGGCAGAATAGCTATTTTTGATATACTTTTACAATATGGGTATCAAATGAAAAGGCTCGTTGAGAGTAACTCGAAAAATGATGTGACGTCATTCTAAATCCATTATGGCGGACCATCCAAGATGACGGAATGGTCATTTTCAATATACTTCTACAATATGAGTATCAAATGAAAAGGCTCGTTGAGAGTACATCAAAAAATCCAGCTATCGATAATTAAAAATTGTAAAATAAATTGAAAGTAAAAAAAAACTTTTTGATAAGAAGCTTTTATTTAAACGCTCTGAAAAGAAGGAAATGAAATTTTTCTTAATAATTCCAACTATCAACTTATAACCTCATTATACACAATTTATATGATCATAGAAGCTTGTCGCGATGATCAATATTTAATTGAATTGTAATTTCAAAAATTTTATCTCAGCAGATTTTACATAATTGAATAAGTACTAGTTCATTCACACAAGTGAATCGCGCGACAAACTTTTATGATCATATAAATTGTGTATAATGAGGTTATTAGTTGATAGTTGAAATTATTGAGAAACATTTTATTTTTGTCTTTTTAGAGCGTTTAAATAAAAGCTTTTTATTAAAAAGTTATTTTTACTTTTAATTTATTTGTTGTCCTCCTTAAGCTCTCCACATGTTTCATGCTGGTAGATGATTCACAGTATCTCTCAAATACAACGACTGACACAAATAAGTAGTGGCAACGCATGTATTTGATGAAAAGCAGCCACGTTTTCTCAGATCTTTGAAATTAACCCTGTAAGGGGCTAGAAGGTAACTGTCCGCTACTGGTGCAGAAATAGTGATGTAGTGCCAGTATGAATGAAATGTTAGGTTAAGCGTTTGAATGGTTGAATATTAGTCGATAAAAATTATATTTTATTATTTTCAACTACTCCCCGAGAATGTATGAAGTCGAACTGGAATATCTCACAGTGGCAGTAGAAACTGCCACTAATCTACAGTTGGTTTTTCATTTCCACTTTTGATATCAAATATTTCACAGCTATGCTTCATTCCTACATCACTGGAACTATAATAGAGGTGCTAGAGCTTGGTGCTTCTGATGAATCAGAATCACTATCGAATAATATGTATTTCAAGATAATATTCCATAATTTCAACATGAAGTAAAGAAGATGATCATAAGGATGATGAAGATGAAAAAAAAAAAACAGGTCGCGTGCACGATGACCGACCCTGGAGGCAAAACATTGAAACGCAATCTCACTTTTCAGTAAAATATTGAAACAAAACCTCATTTTTTCTCATTTGTTTACAGAGAAATCAAAGGATTGAACCTGTTTTTCACAATATTTTGGAAAACGGATTTTGTTTTTTGCACTATTTATTAATTCGAGAATGCCATAACTCATTGTGCTGTTGTACAATGCACAAAACAAGCAGCGAGAGACAAAGGAATATGATTTTTCAGGTGATCATATGTCGTCAGCATGTCAGACCAGTCCTGCCGTTTGATTGCATGAATCCAATCTTCTTGCATTCTTTTAGAAATCCCACGAGTATTTCTATTAGCTCCTATTGCAGAAGGTATTCCGATGAGGAATTACCAAATTTCAAAATAAAACTATATGTGAGTGGCTATAATAGGTACTCATTTTTGAATCCTAGTGTCCAACCAGATTCCTTCGTCTCTATCTGCATTTTTTGTGCATTTTACAGCACAATGTGATGGCATGCGCGAATTGATGAATGGTCGAAAAACACGATTCGTATGCCAAAATAATTGTGGAAGACTATTTCACAAAAATGAGAAAATCAAGGTTGTGTAGCAATGTTGCAGTCCTTGCACGTAACCCATACAAAACATCGAAAATCGAAAGATCATAGGTTGGTTATGTTTTGCTACCAGTGTACCAGTACTGTCAAAACCGTTTCGAAATGAGATGAAAATGTTAAGCTACTGCTACTGTTTAGTGTTACTAAGTTGCCCTCTGTGGCCAGTAATTATTATTATTATTATTATTATTGGTATTATTGGTAGGTTGGATGGTGACAGATGCGCTGCGACCTAATTAGATCTATTGTGCCCCATCTGCTTTTGCTATATCAAGGATTTCTTGTTTAAAGCAGCCCCTCGAGATTCAATTCTTTCAGGAATTTGAGGATTTTGAAAGGGGTCAGCTGTGGTATTTCTTCCACAGTCAGCTGGTGTGTTCCCAGTATGTTCAATCTTTTGTGATGTGCATCGTCACACTCCATCAGTATGTGATGGGGTGTTTCTGGTTCTTCCTCACAGAATCTGCAGGTGCCGTCCTCCTGTAAGCCTAGCTTCGGTGTTCTTTGAGTCTGCAATGCCCCGTTAGAAATCCCGTTATTGCTTTGAGACTTCCTTTGCTGAGGTTCGTCAGTGTCTTAGATCTTTCTCGGTTGAAATTTCCAAGGAGATCTTCAGCCTGCTGTAGTCCTAGAAGTCTTCTCCATTGTCTGGCTCTCCAGGCTCCTTCCGCCTTCTCAAGTTCTCCTTGGAAATAGGAATGTCCAAGGCCGCAGAATGGCTCTGGTCCGATCAGTGGCGTTGAAGCCCCTTGTCGTGCCAGAGTTTCTGCTTGTTCATTCCCCTCTACTCCAATATGCCCTGGCACCCAGAGGTGGATCACTTTATTGTCGCTGCCTAGCTCATTCAATTTGCTTAGGCATTCCCATACCATCTTCGAGTCGATGTAAGGAGAGCTCAACGCTTTGATGGCTGCTTGGCTATCGGATAAAGTCGCGATGTCCTTCTTCCGGTATTTCCTGTCTAGGTTGAACTGGATGCATCTTTCTATGGCGTGTATTTCCGCATGAAAAATGATGGGGAATCGTCCCATGGAATCGAAGTATTTGGTGCGAGGCCCAAAGACTCCTGCTCCAGTTCCCTCGGGTGTTTTAGACCCGTCCGTATACCAAGTAATGGTGTTTCTTCCTAGTGATTCGATGGCTTCTATGCTCCATTCGCGCTTGTTGCTCAGCTCCACTCGGAAGTTTTTCTCAAAACTGAACTTTCTTATGATTTGGTCTGTTGGAAGATCGGCGAGGTGTGCGATCTCAGTGGGAGTAGAGCCCCTTGCACTTTGCGTTTTCCCTCTTAGTCCGACCTTGGCTAACCTGAGATGTGCTCCATAGGCAGTTCTCCTCACCACGATGTGTAGAGGTGTGAGATTCAAAATGACCTCTTGTGCTGCTGTTGGAACTGATCTCATTGCTCCTGTTATGCAGAGACATGTCAATCTTTGCACCTTCTCTAATATTTTCCTTGTAGTGGCGAGTTCGATTCTGCCGTGCCACACTACTGCTCCGTAGGTGATCATTGGTCTCACTAGCATGGTGTACATCAATCGCAGTATTGATGGGTGACACCCTCACGTTTTGCCTGCAAGATTCCTGCACACCATCAGTAATGTCAGCAATATCGAAACATGACCATAGTTGGCCAGCCACTGCAGTGCTTTGCACGAAGCTGAAAAACTTTTACAGACTTGATTTCGTTCCTTATCTCATATCCCCTTTGGCAAACAATGACATTTGATAAAAACTGTACGTTCGTTAGGAAGTGCTGTAACTCTTTTCGTCTCTTCAAATTCTCTGGAAATGGACATTATTTGGAAAAGTGTTGGGTTGACGATGACTAACTCGTCATGGACTTAAATCCTCGAATTCATTGTAGCTAGAGGCTTACTCGGATTCCATTTGAACTTCACTGTCTTCAAATTATATGAATCCAACCCTCTATACCGATATCTCTGGAATGTGACAGTCCATTCTTACGTCACAGTCGATTCCTGTTCTGATAAATATGGATACTGATTGGTCCATTTATATTACCTACTCAACGAGCTCCTCAGATTCTCAATTCAATTGTTGATTTTCAGTCAAGGTCAGTTTATGAATTAAATGAGAAGGATTTCCCCTACATATCTGAATCATCAACTATATTTTCTCACTAAAATCATTATTATATACAAAAAAACTAGTACAGTGAATTGATGGAAGAACCTCAAATTCTTCAAGCCATGAGATGGGTTCAGATGGAATCTCAACTTGACTCAATTGAAAGGGCAAGTAGAAGAAGGGGTCACGTAACATTTTCTAAAAATATCCGGTTATGTCATGGAAGAAGGTGTTCCTTGCATATTCAACTTGTCCCGTCGGGATTTATTTCTATTCTTCATACCTGAGCAGATACACAGTGGTAGAAGGGGCTATGTAACATTAACATCAAGAACGCAATGGAAGAAGGACCTAGGTCCCATTGCCTACATATCAGGAAATGAAAGAAGGGGTTATGTATGCATGAATTCAGATGTCTATCAAAAAATGATATGATAGTAAAATGCTGTGAATAAATTCAATTATTAAAGTAGCTTTCATTAAAAATATTTGTAACATTACTCCTTCTTCCACTTGCCCCTACAATTATATCTTATTTTACCCTTCGGCTAACGCCATTGGGCCATTATTCACGCCGCAGGCCATAAACGCCTACTTCACGCCCTTGATACATAAATATAACAATTGTACTAATGTGATCTCGACACTGGTTTTGATGTTATGTTCGATTTGATGTGAACCTAAATGTTGAATATTCCTAATTGAATACCTATATCAGAATAATTTTT